GGATTAGCGAGCTCACGGTTAGCGCGATGATTTGGTCTTGGATCTTGGATGTAGTAAGCGACGTACGAAGAACGGGCCCCTGGTCTAGAGTGAAAATGAGTGCAAGAAAACTTGTGTATGTGTGTTTTGTTATTTATTGGCTTTTAGAAAAAAAAGATCTAACACACACATACCTTCAAGTGTTTGTATTTAGAAAAGTCAGTTTTTAAAAAAATTCAGGTTATTCTGAATTTCCCATAGGTGTGAATGTGAGTATGAATGGTTGTCTGTTTCTGTGTGAGCTCAAAAGGCTCGAAAGACTGCCGATCATCATCCAGGGGATACCTCTGATAGGATAAGCTCGAGCCCCCCACAACCCTAAAACTGGATGGGTGGATGGATCTTTTGGGAGAAATGGGATTTCCTGGCAGTGGATGACAGGAAGATTACATCTTTTTCCATGAAAATAGAAATAAATAGAAATGAATAGAAACGAGCTACAGCAGTGTTACAAAGGCAGATGTTTAAATCTGGCAATAAATACAAACTCTTCTTAACACAAAGACAAAAAAAAATGGACAAATTTCACTTTCAATCAGTTCACAAACTCATTTATTGCAGCGCACTTATGTGTAGACATTCATTTCCTTTCCACAGGACGGTAAGAGAACATTTCACCTGCTATCTTTAAAAAACTTTTCTGTACATCCTCCAAGAGGAGATTTACTAAGTCAACACCGGCTGGAGTCCCCTAACACGGATTCAAGGGGAAAACGTGGGCAGCTAGTTATAAAACCTCTAAGTTAGCACAGCAGCTGCAATCCAAATGTCAACAATACAAAAATAAATAATTGAGATTTTTTTCTGGATGAAAAATGGTGTAAATTGTTAATATTCTGATGTGGGTTAAGAGCAGGTTCTAATCTATGCAGTGCAAATGGAATATTTTACAACACATTTTCTCATCTGTACAAGTACAGCGCCACACTCACACTCAAGTCAACACACAGGTCCATCTTTACCCAACAATTCATCGCAGCACTTATTTGTTTTCCCGCCTGTTTCACTGTTTTTAGTGGAATGTCAAATATCAAAGGCCTTCTGTCCTGACACAGTTTCAGCACTCATCAAGAGCCCTCTGCACTTTTATGTAAACCATAAAAGAGATCCTGTCTGAACCGTCGTGGTTCATTCTGTGCTAGAGTAGAGAATGAGAGTCACAGCTCTGAGTTATGATCAGAATAAGACATGTTAGCTGAACAAACACAGTATGTTACTGTTAAAAATGCAGCTTTAAAAAGGCCGACTGAAGCCAGCACACCTCTGCTGTCTGTGTTCCTCTGATGTTTTTAATCAGTGGTGTGGCACCTTCATGCTTCAGATTGATGTCTTTGTTTTTCATGATCTCTACTTTCCAAACAGCTGCTGTCACATGTGTTATCACAGAGATCAATACTCCTGCTTTGAGCACAGGGCATCTGGAATGTTATGAATCTATTTTAGTGATTGATAATTAGTGATTGTCCAAAGCCTCAGTCCTCTCCCATTTAAATGTGCTGCTCCAACACAAAGCTGCACAGAGCCCCAGTGTGAGCCTGTACATGTGAACATTCATTAAGACTCTGATCACAACAATCAGGGTTGTTGACAAAAATGCAACCTCGACTGAGATTTCCTTAAACTGTACAAAAAGTCAGGTGAACTTGATTTACTTACTCTTCTTCAGAAAGTGCACAAAGTTAGAGTCAGAGTCTGTACACGGTCTCACACGGAGCTGATACGAGTATAGCTACGACAGATTTAAGCCAAGGAGGCAAAAGGCTACGAGCAAAGCTGCTGACATGCACACACACAGATATTCTGTACAGTGATCAATCGCTTTATACAGCTTCTGTAAGGAAAAGCAACTCAACTAGTCTGAAGAGATTCATTACAGCTTTCCAGGAAGTTTACAACAACAGTTCCACTTTTAGGCAGCTGCTTGGAAAACCTCTTTAAAGCAAAGCAAAGAAACATGAAACGGCCAACGTCATCTTCCAAG